TCCTGGGCTGAGAAACCCCCTCAGGTAACGGTCGGGGGGGCATCGCAAGAAGATGCGGATTATTCCAGATAAAAAATGGCGCAGATAAAAATAAATGAGGTTAGTTGAAGGCAAGGTACCCCTGCCCAGAGAGCCGCTGAAGGGCTGTGTGGCTGGAGAGTCTCGGGGTTTTTTCCCAGTTATGCCCGCTAATTTGGAATATAATATTAATATTAGTAATTGTGTTTCTACATACAGTGTTCTATATTGTACGTAGAAACACCTGGAGTACTGCGTCCAGCTCTGGAGCCCTCAGCACAAGAAGGACATGGAAGTGTTGGAGTGGGTCCAGAGGAGGGCCACAAAAATGATCCGAGGGCTGGAGCCCCTCTCCTATGAGGACAGGCTGAGGGAGTTGGGCTTGTTCAGCCTGGAGAAGAGAAGGCTGCAGGGAGACCTGATTGCGGCCTTTCAGTACCTAAAGGGGGCCTATAGGAAAGATGGGGAGAATCTTTTTAGTAGGGCCAGCTGTGTCAGGACAAGGGGTAATGGTTTTAAACTGAAGCAGGGTAGGTTTAGACTAGATATAAGGAAGAAGTTCTTTACACTGAGGGTGATGAAACACTGGACCAGGTTGCCCAGAGAGGTAGTGGAGGCCCCATCCCTGGGAACATTCAAGGCCAGGTTGGACAAGGCTCTGAGCAACCTGATCTGGTTAGCAGTGTCCCTGCTCCTGCAGGGGGGTTGGACTAGATGACCTCTAGGGGTCCCTTCCAACCCAAAACATTCTATGATTCTATGATTGTGTGTATTATATAGCTAACTATCTGTCCAGACCTGCTGACAAAGCAAACCCGGGCCCTGACGCTGTGCGGGGGCGGAGGCCCCGGGGCGCCCAGGGACAGCCGTTCCCGCCAGCTGGGGCAGCGGCTGCTGCAGAGGCACGAGCTCGAGAACCCAGGGGAAAGAGCAACGGGACAGGGAAATCCGTGAAGGCTGAACAAACCGGGTTTGTTTGGTCTAGAAAAAGAACGGCGAAGAGAGGAAATTGTCTTAACGTACATGAGGATTTTGACCTTTCTTGTGTTTTCTGTGGGAAGGATGGGAAGGAACTGACTCTGCAGTGAGGAACTCTTGGCAACTAGAGGTGGAACAGGCACAGGCAATCTTTTAGACTGGATTTTTTTTTTTTTTAATAGCTGAGATAAATATTTGTCACATATTGCCCTAGCTGGTTCTGAGCATAGAATCATAGAATCATAGAATGGTTTGGGTTGGAAGGGACCCCTAGAGGTCATCTAGTCCAACCCCCCTGCAGTGAGCAGGGACACCGCTAACTAGATGAGGTTGCTCAGAGCCCCGTCCAACCTGGCCTTGAATGTTTCCAGGGATGGGGCCTCCACTACCTCTCTGGGCAACCTGTTCCAGTGTTTCACCACCCTCATTGTAAAGAATTTCTTCCTTAGATCCAGTCTAAACCTACCCTGGTTTAGTTTAAAACCATTGCCCCTTGTCCTGACACAGCTGGCCCTACTAAAAAGATTTTCCCCATCTTTCCTATAGGCCCCCTTTAGGTACTGAAAGGCCGCAATCAGGTCTCCCCGCAGCCTTCTCTTCTCCAGGCTGAACAAGCCCAACTCCCTCAGCCTGTCCTCATAGGAGAGGTGCTCCAGCACCTCAGATGTTCTTTTCTGTCTGTGGTTTTATGCTTCCGCCAGGTGTATCTGATCTAAAATCAGACATGTATATGCAGACACATAACAAATAATGGAATGTCAATTAAACGTCTTACATATTTAAAAATCTGTGGATAAACAACATTTGTTAAAAGTAAAGATGACGATTTAAAAAAACCCCTCAATAATACTTCACATGTTGAAGAGGTCACAGGTAGAGGAGCTGTTTTCTGAAACAAGAACGAGAGCTTTAACATCTCTAAGTGCTCACTAGGAGGGAACTAAGTGTTGCCATAAATTTAAATTAATTTTCCCTGGACCGAGTGCTGGGAAACGAGCGTCCATTCTCCACCTGGCCTGCCCGGTGGGTGAGCATTGCCCGCTCCTGGGGCTGGCTGGACCAGCAGCTAGCTGCCGCCGGGGCGGGAGGGATAGGATGGCTGCGGCGACACCGCGACGCTGTCCTCAAAGAGCGTACTGACAGGTTCTTGTGTTTGTCTTTCCCATCACAGCATGTTCACTGAAACTGATACCTGCTGGTGGCACATCTGCGGGCCTGACGATACAAGGACGGCACAGCCATGTGATATTTACCGTGATAATGCAGAATAGACTTCACCCGTGCTAAGAGGAGAACTTGTCTTGGGAGACCTATGGGCGGAAATGGCTGGAGAGCAGCGTACCAGGACAGCCTCCAGTCCCATCTCTGAAAATCGGAGCTGCCTTTGCTGGGAGCTCGCCCCCAAACGACAGACCTGTCCCGCGGGGCTGAGTTGCGCGAAGAGGTTTGCAGACCGCGCTCGCCTCCCTTCCTAGGCCAAACCAGGCGGGGTTTTCCCACCCGCCTCGGCCCGGGAGAGGGCGGCCCGGATCGCACCGACCGCGCCCCGCCCCAAGGAGGGCGGAGCGGAGCGGGGCCGCAGTGCGTGCCGGGGCTTGGAGTGTTG